ACACAAATAAAGCACGAACTGACAATATATAAAATACGTATAGAGCATATAGTCGCCACATTACATTAATTTTCTCTTAAATTTGGAATTAAGAGATTGGAGTTTTCGCCTCGTAGTAAAACTTGCGAGACGCATCACTTCAATACGTTTGCTTCTCCGTAACAAAGATATACTCAACTAGGAGACAAAATTGTTGAGTTAATCGAAAAAACAAATACAATATCATTTATTTCGTTTGTCTTCGTTTTGATGCTGCGCGCTTTACGGACATATAGTACACTCTGCAATACGCGCGACTTATATACTATTATATAATTATATATAATGTTCATATATATATATATATATATATATACAGAGGTGTATGTCGGGAATACAAATACTATAAACTTCGCAGAGAAAATTTGCGATACGCGATATTAAAATTGCAGTCAATTTCTTTTTTACAAAAATTTAATTAGCAATCACCTTCACCATTTACTTACAGTTTTTTATTAATTAAATTCTCTTAGTTACTGAAGCTTTAGTATTTATAAAATTCTGTCGAACTGAGATCCACTCAAGATTAAATGTGGAGTGAGATTTCATTATTTATTTTCACTCTTGAGACCTCTATTCGCTTAAAAATCTCATGCTGGGAAGAAATAAGCTTAAAATAAATCAGGAAGTACGCTCGCAAAGTTTATGCAAAATATCTCAGATACACCGACACTGTATATAAATCTGCGAAATTGATTCTGTTCTACTTCCTTGATATTACACTAACTACTTGATCGCGCGTGGTATATAAATATCACAGTTTACAAAACTGGTGACACTGCGTTTTGCCCGTGTCCTCTTTTGCTAAATTATACGGTATCAATAATTAATACAATATTTATATAAAATGTGTTTTGTCGGAATCGACTAATTTTATTGTTGAGATTGTCGATTCGACAGTTCAACTAATAAATCACGCGTCACAATTTATAAAAGGACGTGATCACGGAATTTTTTGGTCCTTGAAAGGGATATATATAACTGAGGATCCCTATCTCGATTTATAAATCTGTAAAAAGAGTATCGAAAAATGTTGGATGGATTTTCGGCAGTGATAAATTGTTCATAAATTATCGCAAAATTGTCTGTAAAATACTCTCAAAGGAATCTCGTTTCCTCTCGCATCTTCGAGGACCCGTCGCTCATCTGTTATGCGATATAAAAAAGTTACGTCTTAAGTTAATTACTTTGTATGTAAATGCGGTCGTGTAAAATGCAGTATACAAAAATATGCTCCTGCGCAGCGTGATGGCACGGTCTATTCCAGGATTGATGATATGGACCTAAGTCACATTCTTTGTAAGAGAAAATTAAATGTCAATACAATTTTATCGACGTAAAAAATAAGTAAAAGATATACAGAAAAAATTTTTCCTCGTAATATATATTTTAAAATGTTCTAATTCGTCGCCATTTCATATATCTTCTTTGAAAACGTAGCTTCGTGACTTAGTTCGATATCATTCTTGGAGCTTCGTATGTACTGCTATCTCTCCATCGGAAGGCTCAACGACAAGATCGATTCCGATAGCTGTGATCCATCCGTGCCGCAGGCATTCCTTTGAACCGATATATACGAACAGTTGGTCTTCCATCTTCGGTGTTTGCCGATCTGTCGACATCCACGCTTTAAGAATCCGGTTGACTTTCTGATATTCGTATTTCGCACGAGAAATTCCCATATATGAGGTACAATGCTCTGCGTTGCACATCATCAGTTGGAAGGGACATGTACGTTATATAATCTGAAAGCACAAGAAGATAGAAAAACATGATAGCTGTTCTCTGACTTTTGAAATGCTTGATTTAAATGCATTTAAAATTTAACTGCTAATGTTTATTCGGACCATGTGAAATTTTATAAAACTTTACAAATGGAATGATATATAATTTCATTTATACACAATTATTATATATATTAATGAAATTATAAATGATATACTCGGCTCGGTTTTAAATTATTTGTATTAAATTCTATATATCATTAATTATTTTTATATACTAACTGCATAACATTATAGGTATAACTTTCATTTTATAATAATTACATATTTCATGACATTTTAAATTCTGAATTAATATCTATTTAATATTAATCAACGTTAGAAATATCTTAAAGCTTCTTCTTTGATTATACCATTCTTTAAAAATTAATGAATAGCAATAAATAATTACCTCTATTTTTACACGTATATTATCCTCATGACGAAACTCGCTGCGACCATGGCAAATATCGACGTGATTTTTCCCATGGCGACAGTGGCGGAAGCCGAAACAATGCTCGACTTCCTAGGCAGGTTAGTCTCGATGTCGTTAGTCTCCACTTCCGGTGGCGAACAACCCATCCAGACCGGTGCCGACAATTTTTGTTTTTCGTGCGCAACCCTCATTCTGAGATCGTCAAACTCCCAGAAACCCTTGCCTTTGAAGAAGTACGTCTTGCCTATCGAAAAGAAGGAAGCATTACTTTCTTATTAGAAAGTCGATAGACAAAGTTACACATAGAGAATTATTTATAAAACGTTAGAAGAATCAAGAATTAAAATAAAAGTTGTGTAAAGTATTAAGAAACTATATATATGTATAGTTGCTTATTATCTCTTATGTTGAAAATATATAGATTATTTCTATATTAAAAATGTATTATATTTGGCGTTAAAAGTAATTTAAATTTATTCATATATAAATATATATAATAAATTGTCTAAATAAAATAAATATTTAACTAATTGTATTTATAATAAAGTTATTTTTTTCGTGAATGTCACTTTTTGAAATTTACCATTTTTCCATTGAAAAACGGCATCGATGTCATTGCCAACGCCGGCGAACATGCTCATATCTCTGGGATAATCGAGTTCCACATAATTAACCAATTCGTCGAACCTGTGGAGCAGAAGATTAAATTGGAGAATTAAATTTTATTTATATGGATTAAAAAGAGTAGGAGTCCAACGTGAATCGGATTACAAGTGCACAAATTTCATTTTATGTCCGAAGAGATATGGAACGCATTTCAGTTCAGATTATTTTTCATTTAATATCAGACAAAAATTGTTGTACCGAAATTGATGAGTCTAGAATTATAATGAACTTTAAGCAATATAATAAATGAGAGAGTACAAATTTGACTTGAGAAATCACCTCCAATACATGGAGCCACTGAAGAAGTAGGTCTTGCCGTTATGACCCCACACCATGGCGCCGTCAATCTTCTCCAAGGAAGCTGGCAACCCCAGATTTGTAAGTGGTTTTGGATAACCTGGTTCCAGATTGTTGGCATTGAAGACGTAGTACTCGCGACCAATGAAGAAGACTATCTTCTTATCCGGTCGCTCATACACGGCGTCCACATGATCGATACCCGATGGCAGATTGAATAACCTCGTGATCTCCGCCGGATATCCTTCATAGATTCCGTGATCGCCTATTCGCCATAGATACTGCAATGCGGATTCAAGCAAAGAGAATTTCTTAGTATACACACAGATTCCAACTTTATTAATTATTTATCTTCCTCAGAAATTATAAGAAAATTTGTTACACGTTTCATTTAAATTGTAAAATACAAGATATATTATATAAATGTACACGTATGTAATAATTATTTTAAACGTAATATTTTGAATATTGACAATGTAAATAGACAAATATATCATGAATTATTTTATTTTATGCTCGGAAATTAAAAAAGATAAGATATAAAATGTTAGACGCACATTCTTTTGCCCCTAGAAAATAGATATCGAGATTCTTTTCCTTGCGATAAAGCGAAGTAATATAGCGTTTAAAAGGCTCATTATCATATCGTTCTGAGATACAGCAAATTTTTTTATAATTTTTTATTATTCTTTTTTTAAAATTTGGTTGCTTACTCGTCCTTTGAAGATGAAAACCTCTCTGCGGATGATGCTGATGGCGTCGTAGCTTGTGTCGCACTTGTCGGGCACGTTGTCCCGCTGCGGTGGAGTCCACCGATGTCTAAACCTCGGCGTGGGCCTCATCGTCGTCGTTGTCGTCGTCGTCGTCGACCATGTCGTGTGATGTCGATGGGGTTTGTGCGGCCGATAGTCGGGTTTCTGTGGGTAACGACCCGGTTGTCGAGGCCTGTCGTCGTCCGGATAGTGATTGGGCCTGGTGGGTCTCGTCCTCCAAGGCCTATATGTCGTTGTTGTTGTCGTCGTTGTTGTAGTTGTTGGAGGTGGCGGTGGTGGTTGTTCTGGTGGCAATGGTCCACCTGGTATATTGCCCCATAGTTTGCCTTCAGGAGCTCCTGAAAAACCATTTTGTTCGTTCATTTCGTTTCTGTTCTCTTAATCGATCGTTTAATTTGTAAGTCTGTCAAAATTAAAATTCGTAAGCGCGCAACATTAATCTATTTAAACTAATTGGTAATTAAAAACATAATTTATTTATTTAGCAGAATTTATTGGAATATTTTTTTGTTAACGGTAGCAAATCGGGACACGTAGAATGAAAATGGACTGAAGAAGATTGTAAATTACTAATTAATTTATTAAAAATATTAATCGTAATAAATTATTGTACTATATAAAAAATATAATATA